TGTATTTCTAACAAGTTTCCAGGTGATGCTAATGCTGCTGGTCCAGAGACCATACTTTGAGACCCTCTGATCTATCTCATAAGGTCATTGTGAGGATTAAAAAAGTTAGTACATAAAGTGCTTAGAACCGCACTGGCACAAAAGGTGCTAATATGTATTGGCCAGTATCATTAATTAGGATTAGATTCACTGTAACAGAAAATTCTACTCCAGTGGATTAAGTAGAAAGGAGTTAATATTCTCATTTAAGAAGAGGTCCCAGGTAAGTCATCCAGGGCCAACACCACTATTCAAGAACATCATCAGGTTCCCAGCCTCCTTCTGTCTTCCTGCTCAATCTTTGTTCCATGACTTCCATCATCAGGGACACATAATAGCTGCTGTTCCTTCAGAAATTCTGTCTGCAATCCAGATAGAGAAAGAAGGGCAAAGAAGTACAGCGCAAAAAGTTAATGAACTGTGACAGCCAAGTTGCTCCCTTTCAAAAAATGTTTCCAGAAGTTCCCACAGTGGTTTTGACTTGAATCTCAATTATCAGATCCAGCTCATATGCCACCCCAACTATAAGGAAGGCAGGGAATAGAAGGATTTTTGGTTCTCCAGCTACCGTGGTGGAGGAAATAAAGCAGAAAAGAGTTTGGGACAGGTAATATACAGCACCTGCCTTAAGGGTATCTACAAACACCCAGAAACTCATACAAAATATCAAGTATACAGTATGTGTATTTTCCTGAAAAGTCAGTTCATAGCTTTCATTTATTCTTAGTCCAAAAACTAAGGCTCTCAAGCCCTAGTTTATTGATTTAGGATCCAAATATTTTAACAAAAAGGATGTCTACTCCCCTGCGTCCCCATGCCTGCCATCACATGAAGTCATAAAGCCTGAAGGCATGAAACCCTCTTAATTTCTGTCTCCTTTCCTTTTTTAAAGGTTCTACTAACCTTATTGTAAATGTTACTTATATTATTTAAATATTTGTTTATAAGTGGTCCTATAGCATAGTTTTTGGTGTGTGTGTGTGTGTATTTTTAATGTTACCTCCCAAATAGATCAGATGCTTCTTAAAAGAAAGGCTTCTTTGTATATTTGCTCCCTTTTTTTCAATTGTATAAAGTTGGGAAACAAGGGGCATTAACTTAGGAGTTAAGTTCCTCTGTCTTGAATTTTGTCCTGGCATTAGTATTTGGACATTTAGTTTCTCTGACAGAAGAAACTGAATGGATATTTAAAGAAGAGAGGCAGTGACAGGATTTATTTCTTTTCTGGAGTGTTTGAAAGATTGCCTAATTCAGGAGTATAACCTAAACACTGAAAGACTAGCATTCTTCAACATACCACTTTCATTTCATTGGAAGACGAAGGCTTATATTCAGAAATGATTACTGGAATCATCTGGAACTTCACCCTGAAAACACTTAGATCAAAAGTACTAATTCTGAAATATCAGCTGAATAGTTTATACTCCCTTACCTAGATTATTCTAAGAAACTCTCAACTAATATCTGGAACTTCACCCTGAAAACACTTAGATCAAAAGTACTAATTCTGAAATATCAGCTGAACAGTTTATACTCACTTACCTAGATTATTCTAAGAAACTCTCAACTAAATTTATTGTTTCTGATCTTGCCCGTCCAACGCATTCTCTACCTAACTATAATCTAAGATATAAATCTGGATATGCTATCTTCTCATTTAAAACCACTGCCTAGTATTGTACTATCCAATACAGTGTGGTTAATTAAATTAATAAAATACAATAAAAGAAAAAAGCTCTAGCCACATTTCAAGTGTTCAATAGCCTCATGTGGCTAGCCTCTACTGTACTGGACAACACAGATATAGGATAAAGTTCTGTGGGACAGTATTAGGCTAGAAGATGTGTGTCTAAGTCCCCAACATGTCCTATAAAGCTTTCTCTCTCCAGACTTACCTGCTATTGGTATACACTTAAGACAAGGCCACCAGGCTATTTCTCAGTCCTGCATTTGTTCATAACTCTGTTGTCTGGGAATTCTCTCTCCTCCACCTTGTCTACCTGGAAAATAACAATTTATTTTTTAAGTATTACCTTACACACACATAGCCAAAAAACCCACAGGCATTGAAAGAGTAGTTCAAGAATTAATTCTGAGCATGCCATCCCTTTTATCTGTTATCCCCACAAAAAACAGCAGATCCAGAAGAGGTTCTTCACTTAAAAAAATAAAAA